TGAGCCACCCAGGAACCCTATTTTAGGTTGTTTTTTTTTTTTAAAGATTTTATTTATTTATTTGTCAGAGACAGACCACAAGCAGGGAGAGAGGCAGGCAGAGGGAGAAGCAGGCTCCCCGCTGAGCAAGGAGCCCAATGTGGGACTCGATCCCAGGACCCTGGGATCATGACCTGAGCCGAAGGCAGACGCTCAATGACTGAGCCACCCAGGCGTCCCTATTTTAGGTTGTTTTAATGATAAAACACTTAATATAAGGGCTACCCTCTTAGCAAATTTTTAGAAGATTTTATTTATTTATTTAAGAGAGAGTGTGAAGGGAGGAGTAGAGGGAGAGGGACAAGCAAACTCTGCACTGAGCATGGAGCTTAATGTAGGGCTGGATGTAAGGATCCTGAGATCACTACCTGGGCCGAAATCAAGAGTGGATGCTTAACCCACTGAGCAACCCAGGCACCGCCCCACTCAGCAAATTTTTAAATATACAATACAGTTTTGTTAACTATAGGCACTGTGCTGTTCAGTAGATCTCTAGGACTTACTTTGTGTAACTGAAAATTTGTACTCTTTGACGAATATCTCCCTCCCCTAGCCCCTGGAAAGCACCATTCTACTCTGCTTCTATGAGTTTGACTGTTTAATAGTCATAATGTAAGTGGTATAATGTAGTATTTGTTCTTCTGTGTCTGGCTTATTTCACTTAGCATAATGCCCTCTAGGTTCCTCTGTGTTGTCATAAATGGTAAGATTTCCTTCCTTTTTTGATGCTAAAAAGTATTCCATTGTGTGTGTGTGGCACACACATACCACATTTTATTTATTTGTTGACTGATAGGCATTTAGGTTGCTTCCGTGTCTGGGCTATGGTGAATAATGCTGCAGTGAACATGGGAATATAGATACGTCTTTGAGATCCTGATTTCAATTTCTTTGGATATATATCCAAAGTGGAATTGCTGAATCATATTGTACTTCCGTTGTTAGTTTTTTGAAGATCTTCCATCCTGTTTTCCAAGGTGACTGTATCAATTTACATTCCCAACAACAGTGTACCGGGGATCCCTTTTCTCCACATCCTCACCAACACTTGTTATCTTTTTTTTTTTTAAATCATATCCGTCCTACCAGGTGTGAGGTAATATCCCATTGTAGTTTTTACATTTCCCTGATGATTTTTGATGTTGAGCACATTGTCGTATATATGTTGGCTATTGATGTATCTTTTTAGAAATGTTTGTTTACTTCCTTTGCTCACTTTTAATCAGGTTATTATTATTTGTTTTTGCTTTAATGTTGTAAGTTCTCTATATGTTTTGAATATTAGCCCTTTATTAAATACATGGTTTGCAAATATTTTCTCCCATTTCATAGGTTGTCTTTTCATTTTGTTGATTCTTTCTTTTGCTGTGCTGAAGCTCGTTAGTTTCATGTAATCCTGCTTGTCTCTTTTTCCTTTTGTTGCTTGTGCTTTTAGTTTCATAACCTTTATTTTTAAGGCTGAATATTATTCTTTTGTATGTATATGCCACATTATCTTTAACCACTCATCTATCAATGGTCATCTCAGTTGCTTCAAACATTTTAGCTATTGTGAATAATGCTGCTATTAATATGAATGTGCAAAAATCTCTTCATGACTCTGCTTTCAATTCTTTTGGATATATAACCAGAAGTGGGATTGCTGGATCATATAATAGTTCTATTTTTAATTTTTTGAGGAACCTCTTCATGTCGAAGTTTTCACAAGTTTAATTGCTGTTGCTTCTGCTAAACTATCTGAAAATCTTTATTTCTTGATTAATGCAATTTTTTTTTTTTCACATCCAGGGCCCTTGCAGAATCTCCACCATCTGTAAACAACCTCAAGAGTGAACTTGGTGATAAAGGGAAGAATAAAGATGAAGGGGAAGTTTGTAACGATCAAAAAAAGGCTGCAGGTGTTTGTTTTGAGCCTCACCCAGAAGAGAAAAAGAAGAAACGTTCTGGATTCAGAGACAGAAAAGTATGGAACACAGTCTTATAAATTAGTCAGAACTGTTCTTAATTCTAAATTAGAATAATGCAGTTGAGTCTCTTTTATAGTTTATTTCAGATGGTTCGTATTCTCCTTGCAGTGATATTCACCTTTCTGCTATTTTCTTTCCTTTTTTTTTTTTTTCAAGATTTTTTATTTATTTTTTGACAGAGAAAGACACAGCGAGAGAGGGAACACAAGCAGGGGGAGTGGGAGAGGGAGAAGCAGACTTCCCGCTGAGCAGGGAGCCTGATGCGGGGCTCAATCCCAGGACCCTGGGATCATGACCTGAGCCGAAGGCAGTCGCTTAACCAACTGAGCCACCCAGCACCCCTTTTTTTAACATTTAAAAAAAAGATTATTTATTTTAGGGAGAGAGAGAGAGAGAGAGCAAGCGCACAGGGGAAGAAACAGAGGGAGTAAATCTTCAGGCACACTCCCAGCTGGTCAGGGAGCCTGATGCAGAGCTCAGTGTCATGACCCTGAGATCATGACCTGAGCTGAAATCAAGAGTCGGATGCCCAACCAGCTGAGCCACCCAGGCACCCCATCATTTCTCTTTTTGATTTGAGGTGTGAGGTGATATCTCCTTATAGTTTCAATTTGCATTTTCCTGATAATTAGTGATGTTGAGCACCTTTTCATGTATCCATTGGCCCTTTGGATGTGTTCCTTGGAAAAATGCCTATTTAGGTCATTCTGCCCATTTAATTGAATTGGTTTTGTAGGTTTTTTTGTTTTCGTTTTTGCTTTTTTTTTTTTTTTGGCTTTGAAAGTTTTTATTTTAATTCCAGTTTGTTAACATACAATGTTATATTCGTTTCAGGTATATAATATAGTGATTCAACAATTCCATACATCATCCATTGCTCATCATGACACTTCTACTCCTTAATAATCCTGTCACCTTTTTAACCCATCTCCCTACCCTCTCCCCTCTGGTAATAATCAGTTCTCTATATTTAAGAGTCCATTTTTTGTTTGTTTGTTTGAGTGTGTCTTTTTAAATAGACTCCTCACCCAGTGTGGGGCTTAAACTCAAAAACCTGAGTTTGAGCTGAGATCAAGAGTCAGACATTTAACTGACTGAGGCACCCAGGTGCCCTAAGAGTCTGGTTTTTTGTCTTTTTTTCCCTTTGTTCATTTGTTTTATTTCATAAATTCCACATATGAGTGAAATCATATGGTGTTTGTCTTTCTCTGACTGACTTATTTTCATTTAGCCTTTTACCCTCTAGATCCATCCATGTTGCAAGTGACAAAATGTCATTCTTTTTTATGGCTGAGTAGTATTCCATCGTGTGTGTGTGTGTGTGTATGTGTGTCGCACACACACACACAACCTCTTCTTTATCCATTCATCTGTTGATGGACACCTGGATTGCTTCCATATTTTGACTTCTACAAATAATTCTGCAGTAAGTAGGGGTGCATGTATCTCTTAAAATTAGTGTTTTTGTATTCGTTGGGTAAATACCCAGTAGTGGAATTACTGGATCATATAGTAATTCTGTTTTTAATATTTTGAGGAACCTCCATACCATGTTGCATAGTGGCTGCACCAGTTTGCATTCCCACCAACAGTGCACAAAGGTTCCTTCTTCTCCACATCCTTGCCAACACTTGTTGTTTCTTCTGTTGTCGATTTTAGCTATTCTGACAGGAGTGAGGTGATACCTCATTCTGGTATTGATTTGCATTTTCCTTATTAGTGATGTTGAGCACTTTTCCTGTACCTGTTGGTCATCTCTGTGTCTTCTTTGGAAAAATATTCAGATCTTCTGCACATTTTTAGATCAGATTTTTTTTTATTGTATGAATTCTTTGAATTTGATAAAAGACAATGTCTTTTTGTTATAAAAGCCCTCAACAAATTGGGTAGAGAAGGCACTTACTGCAACTTAAGAAAGGCAGTATATGACAAATCCACTGCTAACATCATAGTGAACACTGAAAGGTTGAAATCTTTTCCTTTGTAATGAGGAAGAGGGCCCACAGGGGTGCCCACTCTAAACTGTCTTTTACTAAAGTACTGGGAGTTCCACCTAGAGCAATTAGGAAAGACAAATATAAGGCATCCAAATAGGAAAGAAAGAAGGAAAATTGTTATTAATCTGGAGATCATATGATCTTATATAATGATAATCCTAAAGACTCAATCAAAAAGCTATTGGAACTGATGAACAAATTCAGCAAAGTTGCAGGATATAAAATCAATATGCAGAATTGATTATGTTTCTATACACTAACAGTGAATTATCTGAAAAGGAAATAAAGATAATTATTCCATTCACAGTAGCATCAAGAACAATAAAATACATAGGAATAAATTTAACCAAGGTAATGAAAGATCTGTGCAATGAAAACTATAAGTCTTTGTTGAGAGTTATAAGAAGACACACACAAATGAAAAGATGTCCTGTGTTGGGGCGCCTGGGTGGCTCAGTTGGTTAAGCGACTGCACTGTCACTTGCATTCACTTGGCCTCAAGGTATTATAGCCTTGATTTTCCTTAGGCATTATACCAAAATTAAACCCTAGCACTGGTTTCAGGACCAGCAGTTTTATTGAAGAGAACTCTCTTAACATCATGAAGTTCAAGAATGTTTTAAGTAAATGATTGAATGTAACTATTATAATTCTCTTAGTAAATCTTTTCATCAGGCTAACCATTTCAAAATCCTACAGTTATCTATATGTCTTAGCTTCTAAGCCTTTGTTATCTTAGAATGCTGTATTCCAAACCTTTTATAGTTTGTTAGCATTCCTTTGAATATAACCACTTAAAAGGAGGCAGCTTTATATCATTTAATGTGGTGTGATCTCCAATATATATTGCTAAGTGAAAAAAAGTAAAATATGTACTGCACAGTATATCTATATTAAACTTTAACAATATTGGGAATGCAAAAATCTGTTACATTCCTTGGCCTATTGTTTTAAACTAAAACTAATAATATTCAGCAACATAATTTAGGGACTTGTAACAACCCAGGAATCTGGTGAGTCTGAAGGTTATTGACTTTTAAGGTGTTGTCTTTCTATCTTTATCTTGTATAGGATGGACTTATTTTTTCAGTTCATGAAAACATCTTTTGCAGTAGCTATAGTTTATATCCTAAACATTGCAAACTGAATATTTTTATTTTTGTTGTTCAGAAGAACAAGAATACAGATGTCCTAAATAAAGTTATTTCTTCTGTAGCCAGTATTATCCAGCAGGTAGTTGTAATATAATATAAAATGCCTTTGAGTTAAGACTTGTAGCTAAATTTTAAGGCCGCTAAGAGGTTGAAAAGCTCCTTGGTGTGTTTGCCACATGCCAAATATTTTGATAAAATCTCTAAAGTCAGTACTCAGATTTTAATGCAAATTAGCATTGGAAGATTCCTGTGATGTATAGTTACAAATTAGCAGTCCTTTCATAGTTACTGAATGCACATCTGGTAGTGGAATTAAGACCACCACAATAGGGGCGCCTGGGTGGCTCAGTCGTTGGGCATCTGCCTTAGCTCAGGTCATGATCCCAGAGTCCTGGGATCGAGCCCCACATCAGGCTCCCTGCTCAGCGGGAAGCCTGCTTCTACGTCTCCCACTCCCCATGCTGTGTTCCCTCTCTCGCTCTCTCTCTGTCAAATAAATAAAATCTTTAAAAAAAAAAAAAAGACCGGGGCGCCTGGGTGGCTCAGTTGGTTAAGCGACTGCCTTCGGCTCAGGTCATGATCCTGGAGTCCCGGGATCGAGTCCCACATCGAGCTTCCTGCTCAGCAGGGAGTCTGCTTCTCCCTATGACCCTACCCCCTCTCGTGTTCTCTCTCTCATTCTCTCTTTTGCTCGCTCTCAAATAAACAAAATCTTTAAAAATTAAAAAATTAAAAAAAAAAAAAGACCACCACAAAGCTGTTGTCAGTGACCTCAAAGTGACCAGTTAGCCAGGAATGGCATGTAGTGTTAGTTGTGTTAATATGGTAAATTAAAAACATTCATAAAGTTTTTCTTAACATTAGCAAATGACTTTTAGACATTGAACTATTAGATTTTTAGATCGTATTGTCTTGACACATTTCTTACCAGTTACTTATAAGATACTGCTTATTTTTGGCTACCTCAACATCTAAAATTCAGGTATGAGAGAAATCTTTTCACCAGAATACTATGTAGTCGGTATTCTGGTAAAAGATATTTCTCTCATTCCTACATTTGTAAAAGAATATTATGTAGAAGGTACAGTGTTTTGTATGTTTCATGCACAGAATCACAGCTTGGTTGCCAGATTAAAAAAAGGGCATATTAATATTATACTCTTTTAGTAAAATGTGTGCCATATTTTATTTTGTTACTATTCAAATACTATTCAAATATTGTGTTCTTCCCAGCTTTTTTCTAAGTATGGTGTTTGTAAAATATTTCCTAATCTAATATTCAAAAGTAAATGTCTTATTGCTTCAGACTTGTTAATAGTTTCCATGATATGTAATTTTATTTTTTAATGCTATTATTTAATGTACTTTGTGTTTGAAAGACTATTAGCTATTTAAACCTGTGAATTCCCAATTCTGTTTTGTTTGGGGATTCAAGAAATTTTGTCAAAGTAAAAACTGTAAAATCAATCCCTTTTTAAAAATTTGGTATTTAAGAATCTGTAGGCTACCCTATATGTGTCATTATACCCTGTTACTGAGACCTTTTGAATTCTTGTATGACAGTTTTCAGTTTTATAGTTTTCAATGATTTAAGACATTAAGAAATTATTTGCAAAAAATTCTAAACAAAAGTTACAGAAGCATTGCCTCAACTGGAGTATGAATAGTATTTTGGAGGGGAAAGGTTTGTAAGTTTTTGAAATTCAAGTTTATGTCTAATATAAAAAAATTAGTTATAGAAAAAAGATATAATAAAATATCTCCAAAAACAAGATAGAAAATAAATGAAAATGAGAATTACTTAATATAGAAATACTCTGGATTTCTAATTGTAGGTGATGGAATATGAGAATAGGATTCGAGCATATTCTACACCAGACAAAATCTTCCGATATTTTGCCACCTTGAAAGTAATCAATGAACCTGGTGAATCTGAAGTGTTTATGACTCCACAAGATTTTGTGCGATCTATAACACCCAATGAAAAACAACCAGAACGTAAGTGCTAAAGTGAAAAATGAGATTATGATATTAATTTTGTTATATGCTTCTTTGTTTCTTTCTTTGTATTGCCTAGCCATTATAGTTATATGCAATAATTATATTCATTGTGTAGTGACTGAATGTCAAGCATTATTCCAGTCTATCGGAGTACAAAAAAGGACTATCCTCGACCAGGGTATGGGTTGAGGAGATTGTACCCAGGTGTCATCTACTAGAAAAATTTAAAGACATATACTTGTTGCCACTGGGCCACGGGGGCACAAATGGGACAAGCAGCAGACCAGAAAGCCTGGAAAGGAGGAGACCGAGAAGGAAGACATTTCAGGGAGTAGGAGTTTTGTAGGACCCTGCATACACCTGTAAATCCAGAGTATGCCCAGGGCCAGACATGTTTGGAAAAGACTTGAGTGGGCTTGTACCCCTTGCTGATCTTTGTGCTCCATGTGAGGAGGTAGTGAAAGTTAAAGCAGAGTTGTAGGAAGTCTAGCTAAAAATCAAAGGAAGTCCCCAGCTCAGAGCCAATCTGCAAATGTTAGGAGAGTTGGGGTGTTTTTTGTTTTATTTTTTCATTCTTTTTGCCTCCGGCATTTAAAGAAGTCTCTGTCATGTCACTTGCTGACTGTTTAGATAATAGAACAGAAATTTCAGTAGTGACACATGACAGAGAACACGATCTTTGCAAACATATTTTGGAAAAAAATCACTAAACACTGATGACTGTAGTCCTCAACAAGGTATATAAATCAAACACTGGGAAATAGGGAGAATCTGTTTTAATTACCCCATTATAATATTCAAAATGTCCAATTTTAATAAATTATATGGCATACCAATAATCAGGAATAAATGACCCATCAACAGAAAGAAAAAGAAATTAACTAGAAACCATCCCTGAGGAAGCCCAAGCATTACACTTATTAGACAAAGACTTAAAATCAACTGTCTTAAATATGCTCAAAGAGCTAGATGAAACCGTTGACAAAGAGCTGTAGGAAACAAGGTGAACAATGTGTTAATAGAGAATACCCATAAAGGAATAGAAATCATAAAAAAGGAACCAAGTAATAATTCTTAGGCTTGAAAAGTACAGTAGCTAAAATAAAAAAATTCACTAGAACCGTTCAACAGTAGATTTTTTAGTAGGGAGATAGAAGAATCACAGAACTTAGATTAATTGATACTGTCCAATCAGAGGAGCAGGATGCAAAAAGAATGAATAAAAATGAACATAGCCTAAGATACATAAAGTATACCAACATTTGTGTAATGGGAGTCTAAGAAAGAGAAATTAAGACATTTCCAGATAATCAAAAGCTGAGAAAGTTTGTAGCTTGTGGTTCTTCCATACCAAAAATGCTAAATGGAGTTCTTTAAGATGCTAGACAGTAACTTGATGCCATACAAAGAAATTAAAAAATAATAAAGACCCGTAAAGGTAATTACATAGGGAAATATAAAAGCCAGTATTGCTTTATTTTTTGTTTGTAACTCCTTTTTGCTTCCTTTATGATTTAAAACACAAATTCATCAAACAACAATTATAAGTATGTTAATGTTGAATCAAACTACATTATTTTCTTTTCCTTTTTTTTTTTTTTTAAAGATTTTATTTATTTATTTGACACAGAGAGAGAGAGAGAGAGGAATCACAAGTAGGCAGAGTGGCAGGGAGTGGCAGAGGGAGAAGCAGGCTCCCCGCTGAGCAAGGAGCCCGATGTGGGACTCGATCCCAGGACCCTGGGATCATGACCTGAGCCGAAGGCAGACGCTTAACAACTGAGCCACCCAGGCGCCCCTCAAACTACATTATTTTCAATTTAAGATGTTAATTATCCCTAGATTAGCCACTAATAAAATAACTAAAATCTACAGAAAAGGAAATGAGGAGAAAATAGAAATGGTACACTAGAAAAAATTAAACATAAGAAGGCAAGATTGGAGGATTCAAGGGACAAAAAATATGTAAGACATATAGAAAACAAATTACAAGATGGCAGAAGCAGATCCTTTCTTATCAGCTGTCACTTTCAAGTGAATTAAACTCATCATTTAAAAGAGAGTGAGAGGAGAAGAAATATGATTCAACTTTATATTGTCTACAAGAGACTTACTTTAGATCCAAAGACACAAGTAGGTTGAAAATGGAAGTGTATAAATAGTAACCAAAAGAGAGCTGAGGTGATTTTACTAATATCAGAAAAAAATAGATTTTTCTGAGAAATTGTTACACAAGACAAAGACATTATGTATTGATAAAAGGGTCAGTTCATCAAGAAGATATAATCATGATAAATACATACATACCAAATGACAGACCCCAAAATATATGAAGGAAACATTGACAGAATTGAAGTGAGAAATAGTTTTTCAATAATAGTTGGGGTACCTGGGTGGCTCAGTTGGTTAAGCATCCAACTCTTACTTTCAGCTTCGGTCGTGATCTCATTGGTGGTAAAATCGAACCCTGCATCAGGCTCCGTGCTCAGCAGGGAGTCTGCTTGAGGTTCTCTCCTCTCCCTTTGCTCCTCCCCCTGCTCTCTCTCTCAAATAAATGAAGCATTTTTTAAAATGCTAAAAATGGTTAAATTAAAAAAAATAATAATAGTTGGGAGACTTCAGTACTGCCATTTCAGTATAGACAGAAGGTTAGTCAAGAAAGAGGACTTAATGCTATAAACCAATTAGACCAAAGATATTTACAGAACATTCCACTCAAGGAGAGCAGAATACACAGTCTTCTCAAGTGCAAATCAAATAGTCTCCAGAACAGACCAGATAAACCATATGTTAGGTAATAAAATGAATCTTAATAAATTTTAAAAGATTAAAATCATACCAAGCATCTTTTCTGCTTACAATAGAATGAAACTGTCCATCAATAACAGAAGAAAAACTAGAAAATTCATAAATATGTAGAAAGTAAACAACCAGTGGATCAGAGAAGAAATCACAAGAGAAGTTAGAAAATACTTTGAGATAAATGAAAGAGAAAACAGAATTTACCAAAACTTATGCAGTGCTGCAAAAGCAGTGCTTAGAGGTAAACTTATAGCTTTGAACACCAAAATTTAAACAGAAGAAAGATCTCAAATCAGTTTCGTAAAAACTGGTGTTGGAATTAAAAAGAAAAGCAACAAAACCCAAAGATAGTAAAATAGGGAAATAATAAATAAATGAAATAGAGAATAGAAAAATGAAAGAGAGAATCAATGAAACAAAAAATTCGTTCTTTGAAAAGATCAACAAAAATGAGAAGCCTTTAGCTAGACCAGGAAAAAGAGAGAAGGAAAATAACTAAAATCAGAAATGCAAGTGGGGAAATTACTACCTACTTATAGAAATAAAAAGGATTATAAGAGAATACTATGAAGAATTTTATACCAGCAAATTGGATTATACCTAGATAAATATGGACAGATTCCTAGAAACATACAAACCACCAGAACTCTTTTTTTTTTTTAAAGGATTTTATTTATTTATTTGAGAGAGAGAGAGTGCACGCATTCTCTCACAAGTGGGGGTGGGAGGGGTGGGAGAGGGATAAGCAGACTCACTGTTCAGCAGGGAGTCCGATGCAGGACCCTGGGATCATGACCTGATCGGAAGGCAGATGCTTAACCGACTGAGGCACCCAGGCACCCCCAAACTACCAGAACTCTTACAATTCAACAAAAAGACAAACAACTCAAGTAACAAATGGGCAAAGGACTTGAATAAACATTTCTCCAAATAAATAGGCAAATGGCCAATAAACACATGAGAACATGCTCAATTTATTAATCATGAGGGAAATACAAATCAAAACCTTGATATACTACCTCACACCCACCAGATTGGCTATAATTTAAACACAAACAAATGTTGGTGAATATGTGTAGAAGTTGACTTGTTGCTGGTGAGAATGTAGAATGGTGCAAACACTGTGGAAAGCAATTTGGACATTTCTCGGAAACTTAAATGTAGAATTAACCATAGGACCCAGCATTTCCACTACTAGTATAAGCCCGAATGAATTGAAAACAGGTGCTCAAATGAGTACGTACATATGAATATTCGCAGCAACACTATTCACAGTACCCGAAAAGTGGAAGCACCCCAAATGTTTAACAGCTGAATGGATAAACAGATTATAGTATATACATACAATGGAGTATTTTTCAGGTGTGGATGAACCTTCACAACATTATGCTAAGTGAAACAAGCTAAACACAAAATGCCACATATCATATGATTTTATTTATATGAAATATCTAATATAGGTCAATCCATAGAGCTAGAAAGTGGGTTGTTAGTTGCCAGTAGCTGGGTTGGGGGAATGAGAACTGATTGCTTAATTGCTTTGAGGGTTTCTTTTTTGGAGTGGTGAAACTAGATAGAGGTGGTAGTTAACACAACACTGTAAATGTACTAAATGCCACTGAACTACACACTTTGAAATGGTTATTTTATTTTAATAAATTTCACCTTAATTTTATTTTATTTTATTTTTAAGATTTTATTTATTTATTTGACAGAGAGAGACACAGCGAGAGAGGGAACACAAGCAGGGGGAGTAGGGGAGGGAGAAGCAGGCTTCCCGTGGAGCAGGGAGCCCGATGTGGGGCTCAATCCCAGGACCCTGGGATCATGACCTGAGCCAAAGGAAGACGCCTAACAACTGAGCCACCCAGGCGCCCCCACCTCAGTTTTTAAAGGGGGGAAAAAGTGAATGTGCAGTCAGTCCTCATTTGCAGATTTTGTGTTTGCACGTTGGCATACTCACTCAAATATACCCGTAACCCCATAATCCCTGCTTGCAGTGCTTTTGCAGTCATCTGCAGATACGTGCAGAAGAGCAAAAATTTGAGTCACCCCTTACATATGTTGGCCAGCTGAAGTCAAGCAAACTAAAGCTCTGCCTTTTTGTTTCAGCTTTCATTCTTTAAACAAGTGTCCTTGGAGGGAGGGCAGGAGAGAAGAGGGAGAGAGAATAAAATGTCTTTAAACAGAAACAC